GACTCAAAGTCCTCTGTGATGGCAACAGCAGAATCTTAAAGATCTGCAAGAGGGGCTGGCGCCATGGCACAGTAGGTTAATCCTTCATCTGCGGCGCCAGCATCCCATATGGGCGCCAGTTCTAGTCCCGGCTGCTCCTCTTCCAATCCAGTTCTCTGCTGTGGCCTGGGAAAGCAGTGGAAGATGGCCCAAGTCCTTGGGCCCCTGCAGCCACGTGGGAGACCCGGAAGAAGCTCCTGGCTCCTGGCTTTGGATCGGCGCAGCTCCGGCCATGGTAGCCGTTTGGGGAGTGAACCAACGGAAGGAAGACCTTTCTCTCTGTCTCTCCCTCTCACCGTCTGTGACTCTACCTCTCAGGTAAATAAATAAAATCTTAAAAAAAAAAGAGATCTGGAAGAAGGACGGCAGATGTTCTTCCGACTGTGCAGTAAAAGTAAAGTAAATGTTGTAGCTATTAAAAATATTAGGGGGCCGGTGCCATGGCTCAATAGGCTAATCCTCCAGCTTGCGGCGCCAGCACACCGAGTTCTAGTCCCGATCGGGGCGCCGGATCCTGTCCCGGTTGCCCCTCTTTCAGGCCAGCTCTCTGCTGTGGCCTGGGAGTGCAGTGGAGGATGGCCCAAGTGCTTGGGTCCTGCACCCACATGGGAGACCAGGAGAAGCACCTGGCTCCTGGCTTTGGATCAGCGCGGTGCGCTGGCTGCAGTGCACCGGCCATGGCGGCTATTGGAGGGTGAACCAACGGCAAAAGGAAGACCTTTCTCTCTGTCTCTCTCTCTCACTGTCCACTCTGCCTGTCAAAAAAAAAAAAAAGAATATTAGGGAAGGTGCTGTGGCGCAGTGGGCTATGCAGTTGCTTGGGACACCTGCATGCCATCTTGGAGTGCCTGGTTTGAGTCCTGGTGACTCTGCTTTTGATGCAGCTTCCTGCCCATGCATCCTGGGAGGCAGCAAATGATGGCTCAAGTAGCTGGGCCCCTGCCACCCACGTGGGATAGCCAAATGCAGTTCTGGGCCCCTGGTTTCAGCCTGTCCAGCCCTGGTTATTACAGGTATTTGGGAGTGAAGCAGCAGATGAGAGAGCCCTCACTTGCTCTCTCTTTTTCTTTCTCTCTTTTCCTATATTTCCCTGCCTCTCAAATAAATACAATAAATTATTTTTAAAAGCCCTTTCTGTCTAAAGAACAAGCTGAATTTGTGCACGTTAACTTGAGAGCAGTAAAGACTGTGCTGTGCCCTGGCCAAGACAGAAAGCACTCAGTAGAGATGCAGCCCAGGGGTGGCACTGGCCACTTGAGGGCACTGTGGGTCCACTGAGTGAGCAGCTGCGGCGCTGTCTGGGAGCAGGAGAGTGAGGGAGGCGGTCTCGGCTTGCTGCCTGCATTAGGGATAATAAGTGGTGATCCAGAGGCTGTCCTGGGGCAGGAAGAGCGAATCCCAGTCTTCGCCCACCCATTGACCTGCACGGGTGTCTGTCACGGCCGGGGCATGAACTGCAGCCTTGCATGGCTTGAGACGTCTCTAGGGGGTGATGTTGGAAGGAGTGTGGTGGAGCAGCCTGCCTGCCCAAGGCGGTGCAGACAGAAGGGCACCAGCCTCAGAGGAAACTGAGAGAAGCTGTGGGGCCGCATGTCTGCCTCCCTCCCTCCCGCCTTGCCTAGCCCAGCACAGCCAGCTCTCCTGCCCTGGAAGGCCATGGTCAGCTGAGTCCATCCAGGGATGCCGGTGTCTACAAGCGGTGACGTCACAGGCAAATCCTCCCATCAGAGAACAGGGAGGAGCAAAACACCTGCTCTCTCATCGCAGGGGACCAGCGCCCTGAGTGAGGAGATGCCTCGTGCCGTTTTGCTTTCCTCTGCCTGGGGCCCCAGGCTCCTCTGCTGTGTTACCCTTTGTCTTGTGGGAGTAGGTGAGCCTTCAGCACGGGTGGGAAATTCCCAAATCCACGGCTTTTCACAGCTGTTGGAATATCAAACTTCTCCCGGTGGGCAGCAGGTCTTTAATTTTGTCTGCTTCCTCCACAGGCTCAGTGAACGTTGGAGTTATCCAGTCCCCGAGACACCTGATCAAAGGAAAAGGTGGAAACTTCAGTCTGAAATGCTCTCCCATCCCAGGACACAACACTGTGTCCTGGTACCAGAAGCTTCCGGGAGAGGGCCCCCATTTTCTCATTCAGTATTTTGAAACGATGCAGAGAGAAAGGGGAAACATCCCCGACCGGTTCTCAGCTCAGCAGTTCCAGGACTATCACTCCGAGCTCAACGGGAGCTTCTTGGAGCCGGGGGACTCAGCCTTGTATCTGTGCGCCAGCAGCTTGGCACAGCCCTGCAGTGTTACTGGCTTTCTATACCCAAACTTTCTGTCTCAGCTGAAGATGTAAGAAGGTGAAGAGGTGGGGGGCGGGGCATGCCACAGTCATAGCCAGGCCCCGAGGATGCTTCTAGTTCTTTCCTAACCCTCTCTCTGCCCTGCTGAGCTCGGGCAGAGTACTCCCGAACACTGAGGCCTCAGGTCCAGGGGGTAGTCTGCCATTTCTGCCAGCACCTTCCAATTCGCAGGAAATGGCAGGAGCCCCACTGTGCCCAGCAGTGTGGGCGTTCACTGAGGCTTTAATGCAAGGATAGACATTAGAGGAAGCACTGCATCAGTGAGGAAGGCCTCAGAGCACCATTGTACAGGTAGAGAGCTGTAGCTTGCGGATGTTCCTAACATTTCCCATCTCTAAGCATCGGAGTCAGGAGCCCTGCTGTCTCTCTGTGCCTCCAGAATCAAGTTTCTCCCACGTCTCCACCATGTGCTTGGTTTTGTTCACTAAGATGTAGCACAGATCCGCCTATTCTATTGGATGACTGACCTATGGGCTGTGATTTATTGCCTGCCGACATCCAGCACACATCATGTCAGCCAGAGATGATCCCATTACAGTTCCAAGATGAGGTTATGTTTCCACGGATAGAAACTCTGTGACTGAGTAATAGCTAAGTAATTAAAACGTGAATAAAAAGGAGGTTCTCCTCACGAATGCTTATCTTCACAAAGAAGATACTGTCATTGGCAGGCTGTACTCTTTTTTTTTTAAGATTTTATTTATTTATTTGAGAGGTAAAGTTACAGACAGAGAGAAGGAGAGACACAGAAAGAGCTCTTCCATCCACTGGTTCACTCCCCAAATGGCCACAACGGCTGGAACTGGGTCGTCCCAAGGCCAGGAGCCAGGAGCTTCTTCCGGGTCTCCCTTGCAGGTGCAGGGGCCCAAGCACTTGGACCATCCTCTACTACTTTCCCAGGCCATAGTAGAGAGCTGGATTGAAAGAGGAGCAGCCAGAACACAAACTGGCGCCCATATGGGATTAAGGTGGAAGCTTAGCCAATTATGCCACAGTGCTAGCCCCGTACTGTATTTTTGAGAACAAACCTCAGAGCTATGGGGAACCATTTGTCCTCCCCCAGAAATCTGAGTCCTGAACTAGAGAAATCACCTTTCTTGCTCTGATCCAACCATGGAAACAAACTTGTTGGGTGGCTCTTGGTCTCTTGAGACCAGCTGAGCACTGGGCATAGAAACAAGAGGCCCTCCTGGGCTTGCCCAGCCCTAGCCTCAGCCCTTCCATGGAGGTGCAACATGGACTCCCCCATGTCTACGTCGGATGCTGTGTCCTTTTCACTGGGGCAGGTCTGTAGGGATCACTACCCAGAGAGTGTCAAGACAGGCATTCACAGAGATGCAGACCTGCATTGAGACATGATGTTCATAGGAAATAACGATGGGTACTGCCGTAGACTAGATATGCTTTTCTATTAAATATTTATTTTATTTATATGAAAAACAGAGTTATAGAGAGAGGTAGAGACAGAGAGAGAGGTTTTCCATCAGCTGGTTCACTCCCCAGATGGCTACAATGGCTGGAGCTGCGCTGATCTGAAGCCAGGAGCCAGGAGCTTCTCCTGGGTCTCCCACGTGGGTGCAGGGGCCTAAGCAGTTGGGCCATCTTCCACTGCTTTCCCAGGCCACAGCAGAGAACTGGAGCAGAAGAGGAGCAGCCGGGACTAGAACTTGCACCCTTATGGGATGCTGGCACTGCAGGCCAGGGCTTTAACCTGCTGCGCCACAGCACCGGCCCCCTAGATATGTTTTGTATGACAGCACATTTATGATTCAATCAGTACTTTTCTATTTGGTGGACACAAGAACTTCTGAATAGGGACACCATTATACTGACCCTGTATGTATCCAGTATCCTGTGACCCTGGACGCGCTGCACTCGTGTATTTCTTGGTGACTATCTCTTCCACATGGCTAATGAGCACGGTCTTCATTTCACAGAAAGGGCAGCCACACAGACCTGGGTAACCCAGGGTCCATGACCTCAGCTGATACAAAGGGAGAATTCACAGCCATGAGAACACAGAGGCCCGCGTCTAGAGGGCAGGGCTCCTGCCAGTTCAACTGATGTGAGACAGCATAAAACAACTCCTCAAATTCTAATGACAGTGACCTTCACACTATTAAACTTTTCTGGATGTCAGTGGCTCATGTAGCTAAGGGTCTTGCTGCAGGCTGACGTCCAATTATCCAGAGTTTAGGTGAAAAAAAAATAGTGAACGATATTTGCAAAAAGGTCAATTTTGAGCAGAGAAGTCATAAGAGTCACAAGCATTGTCATGAAGAGGTACCTTAGACCACAAAAATATTAGAAATAATTAAAACAGTATATAAGTAAGGAATGTTATCTTAATGGGAAAAATATGCCTGAGGAAACAGATTTACTCACTAAAACTAGGGAAAGAGCATATACACCTGTAAGATTACTTTGGCAACAAATTACAAATTCTTTCCATTATAAGATGTTAAATTGTGCATAGATGCTACAAACTGTATACTGTAAGATTCTATGGGTGTAACTGACAATTGACTTGTTCCTGTAGGGATGGGTGTGTCCCGTTAACTCTGCTGTTCAAGCACATGTCAAGGAACAATGACATCACTGAGTCACCAACAGCCTATCTCCCCAGTGGGGCCAGAAGACAGAGGGTTCCGCCCTGGGGCTGCAATGAGCACCAAACTCCTCTGTGTGGCCTTCAGCCTCCTGTGTGCAGGTGAGTGAAGGTCACAGGTGGTCCTCCCTGGGATTCCCAACTCCTCGATCCAACCCTCTTTCTTGGCACCACGTCACCAGGCTCCATCACTCTATTACAGGACACACAGATGCTGTAGTCACCCAGATCCCAAGACACAAGATCACACAGACAGGAAAGAAGGTCACTCTGCGATGTCACCAAACTGACAACTACAACTATATGTACTGGTATCGGCAAGACCTGGGATCTGGGCTGAGGCTGATCCATTACTCATATGGTGTTGGCAGCATGGAAAAAGGAGACGTCTCTGATGGGTACAACGTCTCCAGAACGAACACTGAGGACTTCTCCCTCATCCTGGTGTCAGCCACCACATCCCAGACATCTGTGTACTTCTGTGCCAACTCTGACTCCACAGCACTGCACAGCCGCTTCGTGTCTGCACACAAAGGGTGATCAGGACGATTGAGGTTTCCTGTGCTCGTGAAACCCGGCCCCACCTGCAAAGTCCCTGCTTCTGCGGGAACCGAGGGGGGTCTTCCTGCGTGGGCAGCGTGACCTTCATGCCAAGGCCCACCCCACACTAGTCTCAGCCTCACTGGAAGTCACTGAACAGGCTTAGCTTGCTGGCTGTCTCTTTCCGCTCAGAGGAAGGAAAATCCACCGTTCGTTGAGAGTCATGATTCTCTCGATAATCTCAAAGTCACCACATCATTGTCTCCCTTGTGGACTTCAGCGATTTCTTCCCCTAGGCTCCCTCTGTCCTCTATCACCGTCCAACTCACAGTCGTGAGCCCTACTCACACGGTCTCTGCTCCTGGCTGCCTCTGTGCTGAGACAATAGTCCTGGGTGGCCCCATGGGATCTTCCCTTCTGTGCTCTCTCCGGCTCATCTTGCACTAAGACTTGTCTGCTGCAGCCACACTCATCTACAGTCAGTTATTTCTATACGTGTCCCACCATGGGGACCACTTTTACAGGCTGCTGCTTCTGCACTGGGCGTAGGTCCTTCAGTCTTATTCCTAAGTCTCTACTTCATTTCTTATATAAAAATGTGCTTCAGATATATTTATTCTAAGCTAGGAGAATTTAAGAAATTATTTTAAGCTTCCATTTGGATGATTTCTTATAAGTGGAGACACAAAAATAAACTGAAGAATGAAAATTTAGAAGTTGCATAAAATTAAACTGTTGCATATAAAAACACACATACAAAAAGCAGGTGGTTGCAAGAGTCACCCCTTGGGATCCCTCTACCTCATATCAGAATGCTCGGTTCAAATCCTGGCTCCTCATCTTCTAACCCAGTTTCCTGCCAGTGCACAGCCTGGGAGGCAGTAGTGATGGCGCCAGTACTTAGGTGCCCAACAGCCACATGGGAGACTTGGATGGAATACTTGTTTATTTTCATTTTATCTGAAAGGCAGAGAAAGACAAAGACAGAAAGACAGACAGACATTTCCCATCTATTGGTCACTCCCCAAATCACTCCCAAACAGCCAGGGCTGGACGAGGCCAAAGCCAGGAGTCAAGTACTCCATCCAAATGAAAAGCTAAACAACAGAGTGAGAAAGGGCATGAAGAGTGACACAAACGATGAAGAGTGTGTGTGACAGGAGCCAGGCATTGTCACCACACACCCAGAGACTCCACGGCTCCTGGCTTTACCTGCAGTGAGAGGGCTGGGAACAAATGATGAGGTGCTGAAGAATGAGATGTGAATGAAACTTACAGAACCCAATTCTACGCATGCCCTTCAACAAAATCCTATAGCACTGTGATGCATTTCCCCAAGCATGCATCCACATTTGGCAAGTAGCTAGAAGGACTCACAGCATAGAGCATACACATAGCTGCACTCGTGGCATAGTAAGTATTCAGTAGCAGATCATACAGGAGACAGACACAGGGGCATCCAGGGAATCCTCGCGCAGGCTTCTTTATGCTCTTTCTCCCAGCTGGAGTCACTCAGAGCTTACTCTTCACCCAGCAAACACAAACGCAGCATGGTGTGTGCACTGCTCTGCCACGGGAGTCCATCGGCCCTCCACTGCCTCACACATCCAAAACCTCCAGGCCTCGGCAAAGAAACCTGGAGTTCGCCAAACACTCTTGTCCTTTCAGCTAACAGTCTAGGCACAGTGAACAACCCTTCTCTTTGGGAAAAATTTTATACCAGCTCAGGGAACTGCTTATGAGCTAAGTTCCCCAACGCTATCCAAAGGCCCGTCTTGCAGCAGGATTTTCTGAGCACACCAGTCTCAAGTCCGCTATCAGCTCTTTTCTGCATGGGCACTCTGCAACTCTTTTCTTGTCTTTAATGAACTCGGAAGCTACATGTCGAAGATGGCCTAATTATAAGATGGAGGCAGCCTGACTCACTGGGTCACGACGTGGCAACAGACAGCCACGGAGGAAAGCTGATCAAGCCACACTGGATTTGGAGTATTGGGCTAAGACTTGACATAGTTAAGCCACCGAGGATTTAAGGTTTGCTTTATTTTGTTTTCCGTGGCAGAGCTCACCTTGTCTAATAGAGTTCGTGTCTAGATTGAGTGAATTTTCATTACTCAGAAAGAAAAAGACTAGTAAAAGTGGCAATACAAACTTGTAAGGTAATTCACAGGAGAAGAAATGTGAAATACTACTAAACATGTGAATCAGTTTTAGAATCAAAGTATGGCCACCCGCAACAAAGGAGTGACAGTCCTAAACATGACTGAGATCCAGACTCCTAAAAACCCTCTTACACCACAAGAGAAACGGCACCTGTCTCAGAGATCCTTTGTGGGGTGTTTGCTGACAAACTGCACTTCTGGCGGAGTTATCAACACGTTTGAATCATTTCAGTTCCTCTCATTGTCTTCAGGGCCCATCACAGAGAGTTTGGCTGCCGATATCCACCTTTGCCATTTCGGAAAGCAGTCTCTGTTTAAATGCTTTCAAAATTGTGGCAGAATACAGAAAACATAAAATTTCTCATTTGATTGTTGGGGAGGGAAGATTTTTCCCTCTACTCTTCAAGGATTTGAAAATAGAGTTTATGACATAAACTGACAAAAGCACATTAACAAGAGAAGGGGCATACAGATGCATTGGACAGGAAATGAAAGGAAAGCAAATATCCAAATCCCCACCAGATCTGGAGGGAGAGGGAGGTGGGATACATGCTAATTAAAATGAGTGATTTGGAGGAAGATGACTGGGCAACCAGGAGAGGCGGGGGAGCCTGCACCCCACACAGAAGCCTTCCAGTCTGTGAGAGGGACAGGGTGGGAGATCAACTCTGCAGATACTTACAACAGCAATCAGACCTCCCAGAACGCTGGCGTTTCCATGCCTGAGCAGCAAGATGCCTCATTCCTGCCCTGACACGAATTTGGTCCTGGATTTCTCTCCTTGTGCCGCTCAGGAGGCAGCAGAGGCCGTGAGCGCCTGGGGAAGTTCTTCCCTAGAGCTGTCAAATTTCAGATGGAGAGTGACAGACCAGTCTCCAGCCACCCTCAATGCTCTTGTCACCCAGAACCCCGGGGTCACACACTTCCCATCGTGGATTGACTCACTGGGGCCAAGGTGGGCTGAAGTCATCCCAGCAGCTTTTCTACCCCAATGGTAAAGAATGCAAAACAGCAACAGAGATTAAGAGATGGTTCTGATAACCCCTTCCCTACAGGTCTTCACTTGCTAATCTGGGCCTGTGGCTCCTACCTCAGATCATAGAACCATCCTGTGCCCACCTCTGAGTACACATGACCTAGTCTTGCCATCTCACACCAGCTCTCAAGACTCTTCCAATCCCCCAACCCCTTCCACGCCACTACTCAGGCCATGGAAAGTGTTCGTCACTAACATCAGTCCTTTAAGAAAAAAATATTAGCCAGATACTGACCACTGTAGTTGAATTAAGTTATGTTAGAGATATGAGACTTTTAAGATTCCAGGTCTGACCAATTTCACATTTATTGCTAGAATATACACACTGGTTATTTCAGGGATAAGCTAGTTCTCCAGTGTTCTTTGGTAAAATAGCAGATCTGACTTTTTTTTTCCAAAGATTTTATTTATTTATCTGAAAGGCAGAGCTACAGAGAGGCAGAGGCAGAGAGATCTTCCATTCCCTGATTCACTCTCCAAATGACCACAATGGCCGGAGTTGCGCTGATCCGAAGCCAAGAGCCAGGAGACTCCCTGGGGTTTTCCAGTGATTATTTCAACAATTCTTTCTTCCTCAAATTGTCTTTGTCCCCCCATGGAATTCACAGGATGTGGGGTCACCTGTCCCCTAAATTAAGATTATGGCTTTTTGGCGTGATTCTATCAGGTGTTACAGTACCCTTGCTGGTACTGGGAGGTGCGAGGACAGAGGCCTGGAGCTCTTGACTCACACTCTAGAATGACGCTGGTGCATGACTCACAGACGCTGAAGGCCCGGAGGTGTAGGCTGCACTCGCAAGATCTGGCCTGCAGAGCAGGGGGACTCAGCCGCGTTCTCTGTGCAGAGACACTTCCTGCCTGTGCACAAAACCACAGGAATACCCTACCTCCCCTGCGTTCCTCATCACCCAAGGGAAAGCAGCAGATTTCCAGACAGGAGCTATGGCTCATAGAGTGGGAGGGCGCGATTCCTTCTGCAACTTGAGGGCTGCAGCTAATTCTAGCTCAGGGATTTGAAGCACTGTTGGTGACAAAGCACTCAACCCAAACTGGAAGTGACTCACACAGACGTAGTCCTCAGAGGCTAAGCTCTCTTATGAAAACACGCAGTCACAAGAAACATGTAGAATAAACTTAACGCCAGGCATGGTCACATGTGTGTGATGAACAGCAGCCCTGAAAGATCTGAACACTATCAGTCATACACGCTGGCGCTCCAGCCTCTTCTATGCCCCTATCTTGGAAGCTTTCTGTTTGTGTGGAAATATGTTACTACTACTACCACTAACAGTGATGACGATAAGTTCAAATATTTTTTCAGTATTTTTCTACTTCAAAGAAATACACACACATGTATATGCTGGACACCAGCCCCAAGTCTTGGCCCTAAATGAATTCTATTTTTTTCCAGAGAGCTCATCTCTTCACTGTAACCCATGGAGTCCAACTCTACCTCTAAGCTTGGGCCAGTCAGTTCAGTGGCTGTTGGTGGCATTTCCACCTGTCCTCCTTGGTATATTAAAATAAATCCTTAGGGCATTAAAACATCTCTTGAAAGAGCTTCTGAAGCAAGCATTTGTGTTGACCCAGTTACCCTCTCTGAGTCTACATTCTTTGTCTAGTGCATGTCCTCTAACTGCTGCCCGAATTCCTTAAAACCGTGGAATATCATCCAGAAGCACTGGCTGGAGTTACCTGGAGGGCAGTTTACTGGGAACCCTCTGAGGACATTGCCACTGGTGCTCCGTCCCTAGATCAAGTCACACATTAGTCCACTTGCCGCCTGCACCTCCACCCAGTTA